GTGGAATCAGATATGATTGAGAGCTGCTGTTACTGAATGGTGTATTTGGTGAACAGGCCCACAGCCAAATTCTGCAGTCAGGGTGCTACAGCATGCCTCAAAACACGTTTGCTTTTAGTTATAGATCACATGACAGACAGGGAGGGAGAGGAAGGAAAGGAAACTTAGATTAAGTGTATTTTTTGCTCTTTTCTATCTTCGTTTGGAGTCAGCAAAATGCTTGTTCGGCGTATACTGCGTTTACATTACATTTACATGTATTCATTTACCACTACTATTCATAATAATAATAGTACTACTACTACTACTACTACTACTACTAATAATAATAATAATTAGAAAGTGTTGTTTTGTTGAAACATTGAATTACCAACATTATATTCATAGTTTTTTTTTTTCAGATGTAAAAACAAATCTATAAATATTTAAATCTAGATTTAGTTTATAGGCTAGTTGTGCTAGTTTTGTAACAGATGCATGAATAGTAGGCTATATATTCTACGATATAACAAACAACAACCTTCGATATCTATAATAATATCTGTTTTTCAGCATGCTTTAGGCCTACTGCTTAAAACAAATAAAACAAACGGCTTTGTAACATATGTTGCTCTATGCTGTTTTGAGTAAAGTCTTCATTTTTACTTTTCATTTCTAAATGGCTGTTCTCCTGATGATTCCATTTGTATTGCACTTGTAGTCGAAAGGAAAGAAACATTATGTCAAAGCGAAAGTAAAGTGAAATAAACTGTAGTAGGCTAACATCACTTAGTAGTCTACCTAAACTCCTTTAGCCCAATTGTTATGTGTCATTATAAATATAATAAGCAAATGCACATTTGATAGAGAGCTCGAAACCCCCAAATCGTCATAATATAGTACATTTTATCCACAACATTCATCTACATACATTTATCTGTTTAGCCACACATTGCTCCATAATGAGATGCATGCTCACTGGCCAAATTCCTTTGTTCTTGTCCTTTCTCGACCCATTTATAGTTTTATTCAAAACAGACAATGAAAAGTACGGATACAAACTGGGAAAACTGAACGCATATGTTTGTCCCGAAATATGAACTTTCTGGAAGCAAATTCGAATTTAACTAATTTTCTAGTAGTTATCCTGTTTTGATATCTGATTAAGCTCCTGTAAGTAAGTGTGTACAACCAGGGGCAGCTCATTATTTTCACAGATCAGCTATGCCCTCTAGTGACAATAATGTGCACCCCTGTTTAATCTTGCATTCTTTGAAAATTGCAGGATGCATTCATGTTTCTTTTTTGCAGTCATGTTCCCAGGCATTTAAATACATTTTGAAGTCTATTTGTTCAGAATCTAAAATGGGTGTTGCAACGAATGCATGACTGACATTAGCTACCTAGCTTGTCGTAAGTATTTAATTGGCTGTTATGGTGACCTTTTTCTAAGATGAAAAATTCCTGTTGCATTTTGTTGTAGTAACGCCCCAAAAGATTGTGAGCTTTAAGGTTTGTAGAGTGGAGCATTTCCTGAATAAACGTGACTTTCAGTGTACTGGGGGGGTCGATGTTGCTTTAGTCTCACCATCAATACATCGACCAGACGCCCCGTAGAAAAGTGTCTACGTTTTTGTGTGCAAGTAACAGACACAAAGAACCATTGAGGTTAGTTTCAAAGAGAAGAGCAATTACAGTCGTATACCATAAACTCATTTAGACCAGACGTCTAGCTCTTTCTATAGCTTTATTGGACCCAGTTTCTTCCTGCTCTAAAGCAATTATTGGTACAGGTTTGACGATCAATTGGGTATCTTTGCAACACCTTTTAACACCTTTTTAGCAATATTGCCTAACAATGAATCTGTATTTTGTGTTCAGCATGAAACAAAATCAGTCTTGTCGCAGGTCATAGCAACATAAAATCGTAGTGCTGTTATTTAAAAGGTCTGTACATACAGTAGTGTGCAGTCGAAATTGCCATTTATTTATAAAACATGGTCTAAAAAAGGGAACATTTTCACAGTAGGTGCACGAGTAGAGTATTTAACAAAGCCTGTCTACACCCAAATTCACTATACAGCACTGAAGACAAGCTTCACTGTGAAAAATAAAACGAAATTGAAAAAAAGAGAAATAAAACAGACTAAAGAGTTCGATTTTCTTATCTAATTTAGACCATATTGATGCATCTACAACACCAGCAAGAGCTCAAACTAGAAATACACTAGTTTAGAAAAGAGATATTAGAAATATGAGATTGTACATAATGTCCAATTAAAAAAAAAAGACAGATTATGGACAGATTTAAAGATCAGCACATTAAGAACTGATCAGATCACGACCCATATCCTAAGTTCCTATAAGACATTTTTGTGGTAGGATTTTTAAGGATAAGTAACTTCGGAATTTTACGAAACTGAATTCTCCGATCCTGAATGAACTAAACCATGGTGCTGGGAAACGCATTTTAAGCCAAATATAACTACTTTATAATGTGTGGAATATTCATTCATTTATATATAAACAGAAGATATGCCATTTGAATAAGTAAAAAGGGAAGAAAACAATTGTATCCTAAACCAAGCATATTACAGGAACGCGCATTAGCGTTTGAGCTGAAGCACATTGTTCTCTGTTCACTAAGGATCTTTGCTGCTCCTCTCTCGGTTCATCTTCTTCATTTTCATTCTTCTGTTCTGAAACCAGATTTTAACCTGCCGCTCTGTTAAGTTCAGGATTCGTGCAACTTCATAACGACGATCCCTCGTTAAATACATGTTATAAAGGAACTCCTTCTCTAATTCAAGAGTCTGATATTTTGTGTAAGGGCAACGTTTCTTTCTTGTTGATCTCGCATGGATCCAGTTTGCTGCAGGGTTGCCTGAAAGAAAAAAGCACGTAAATAAGCTTTACGTCCACAATTGATTAGATCACTCATGACAATATCAAAGGGAGCGTTGCCTTATGTATCCATTAAAATATTGTGTAGTGAGTGTGAATGCAACTATTTTTATTTTTATTTTTATATATTTTATATATATATATATATATATATATATATATATCTGCATTCAACCTGTTTTAGACCACGACTGTTTTTTTAGCAAGGTCATATTAATGCATCCATTTATTTCAGTGCCAGCCCTCACCATTGATAGCTTAGCAAACGATTCCAGCCGCGTAAAATCTTGCTAAATTTCGTCATAAGATATGTCATACTCTAGCCTTGTAAAGTATTTTATAGAGTACCGAGTTGCAAGTCCTCGTAAAATAAATGTAATAACATGCTATAAAACAACGAACCACCACAGCCTCACATATTCTCATATTTTATAAACGGTCCTCGCTGCTTTAGTGTTAAGATCTGCAATTCAGTTGTTGTAAGTTTGATACTGACTGCAAGGTGTTGTAAGATTGACACAGGAAAGTAATATTTGTGTATATTTTTGGTACTTATTGAAAAGCGAGTCATGGTATTTTATGTGAATCAATAAAAATTTTATGAGGTGCATTTGATTATGTATTAATGTTTCCTTAATAAAAACACTCTTGGCATTTCAAAGTGTCTTGACCCACGTGTCTGTCATTAAATAATAATAATAATAATAATAATAAATATGGGAATATTCTCGTCTTTTTAGATAATACACGTCGAGCACTGATGGTGGCGATGACTATGTGGAATGACTGATGGCAATAAAGCGGATGTTGCTACGTCACATTACAATAAAATAACAAAAAGGTTCAAGACCGAGTAGATCATTTGTGTAAAGAGAGGTTAAACGCAATTCATTGCATATGTCTTCCTTATTTGGGAAAATAATCTGAGTGAGAAAACAATGTGGTAAAATGTTATTTGTCGACAAGTTGTCACTGAGAGCTCAACTGTTACAGTTTTGGTCAAAATTATAATCTGCGTTCACATCTGTGCATGGTCACACACTTGAACGCGTCTGAGCATGTGCCTATAGAGACGTGTGGCATTGTGTTTGTTTGTATGCACATTAGAGAGTGAGTGGTCAATGCTATAGAAAGAAAAATGCAGAACATTAATATAAGTTTTATACTTGTGGAAAGATAAGATACGAAAATAAGTATCTGGTCCCTTTTAAACAAAAAATTTGACCAAATCAAGTTGAAGTTTGATCCATGTATTTTAGAGTTACATTTTCGTAAATTTTCTGATTTCTTTTCTGGGCATACAGGAATTAAGAAAACTTGCTGTTTTGTTTGTCACTGACGTCCGTAAGTCACTTATGTATGTATGTATGTATGTATGTATGTATTTATTTATTTATTTAAACAAAAAATTTGACCAAATCAAGTTGAAGTTTGATCCATGTATTTTAGAGTTACATTTTCGTAAATTTTCTGATTTCTTTTCTGGGCATACAGGAATTAAGAAAACTTGCTGTTTTGTTTGTCACTGACGTCCTTCCGTAAGTCACTTATGTATGTATGTATGTATGTATTTATTTATTTATTTATTTTCATTTAAAGAATTAACAAGTGCAAAGCAAGTTAGTATTCCATGGCTTTTTCGTCGATCAAAACATTTAAACTGTTTTGGGCCTTTTCATAACAATTGGACTAAAAAAAAATAAGTACAAAAAATAAATTTAGAAAATGACACACATGCAGGCTCAAACACGGACTGTATTTTAACATAAGATCATATTTTAAATGACTTTGTTTTGCCCACATATTTAACAAAGGGTTTTTAATTAGCGGGTTGTACAATGTTTTCTTGTGCGTGTGTGTTTGTGTGTGTGTGTGTGTTTGAGGGTAGTATTGGGGAATGTAATAAGGTCCTGATTAAACTGTGGTTTAGAAACGTTTTTATACAAATTTTACAACAAACATTATTATCACATAATGAATTTATTAGACCACTGACCACATGCCACAAACATGCACTGATACAGACATATTTAAACATCTATTATACAGAAACCTTTATACGTAATTATTTCAGTTGAATGAAGGTTTTCACCGGAGAAAGAATGGGTACCCTTTTACTTTCAAATGTGCTTTAATGTCGTTTTTTAGCGCAAATGTTTCTGCGACATTTTTGCTCTGTCCCCGCTGAAATGAAGCCGCTCGGAATAGGCTGTTTCTATCTTATTATATAAGTTAAGACCTAACGCCAGTTTTATACCCTGTGAAACATACTGAAATACACAAGGCTTCACATTTCAAATGCAATGAAAGATGTAGCAACAAATGACAAAGATTTAGCAACGATCACAACACTGGAACGTGAAAGTAGCCAAAACAATGCACACCGCCCTCATGTCAACATTATACAGGAGAACACAGATGGACCGAAACGGGGAGGGAGGTAAGTTTTTGAAATGCTCTTGTTTTCATGCTCACGAAAAAGTGAGATTGGATGTGAGTTCACGGATACGATTTTCTCTACTCATCTTCTTAAGTTTCATCCTGCGGTTTTGGAACCAGATTTTCACTTGTCTGTCAGTGAGGTTGACGCATTTGCTTATCTCTAGACGGCGCTCCCGAGTCAGGTACATGTTGAATAAAAACTCTTTTTCTAATTCCAAGGTCTGGTATTTTGTGTAGGGACATCTTTTTTTCCTTCCACTCTTCGCGGTTAACCAGTTGCTCGTCGGTGTGTTGTTTTTAGATTCTGCAAAACAAAAACACACAGTGAACCAACAGCAAAACAACAAGGGGAATTAAGACACTTTTTTGCATGAAAAAAAATAGAAAGCGTATGCTTGTTATAACAGTTATCATAATTAAATCTATGCCTACAGTTCATTAGAATTAACGTAGCCTACTGAGTCTAAATAATAGCCCATGTGGCCTCGTTTGGACTTTCAGCACACAATGACAAGTGTTGACTACAGCGTAGTTTTACTGAATTGTTGTTGTTAATATTATTATTTTTCTTTTTTCAGTTAACAAATAAGTTTTATTAAGCTAAATTACTCCTTATGACCAATGCACTTTTTATACAGGCAATTTTTGTATTTAACTACCAGAAATATGATTTTGCCAAGCTATAACCTACTAACCATGTTGCAGTTAGTAACAAATAAATGGCAATGAATGGTTCCTACATTAAAAGTACATTCATTTTCGTGCTGAATGGATAAAGCTGCAAACACATTTCACCGAGACTCTGCTGCTTATATTGAGCAAAGATTGTCAAGTCACTTGCAACAAAAGGTATTTGATGTTAACGCGCCCTCGCAGCGCTGTTTCCTGTTAAGGCTTTTACTGCAACCTGAGTAAGACTCCCATTAAACATTACGACTTTCGGGTTGTTTGTGTTTTATATTGGGTTTTATGATGCCGGAGCGTTCGCATTACACCAAGACGCGATTAATCCGTTTATTGTACCCACCTTTGCCTTCTCTGTGTGGCAATTCAGGGCTGGAGACAGACGCCTCAGTTGAGCAATTCTTCTCCTCCAGCGTGCTGACTTTGGGCTCTGGACTCCGCGCCGGGGAAGAGCTCCTTGTGTCCCGATCGAGCGTAAGCTTCTTTTCCACCTCGACAAAGGGCGTTGACTGCGCCTTTGGAGTCACCCTGTTCAGCTGCATTAACGTAGTGTTCGGGCTCATCGTCTCGCTGTCATAGTCCGGGTTTTTCGCCGTCGCATAAGTTTGACTTAGTCTAAAATAGCCAGGGACCGGAATCTCGGGACTATCAACGGAACATGTTTCGGGAATCAGGTTGGAGTACGCGGGTATCTCGGACGAACTGACCTTTGCTCTCTTGTCGGAGTACATACAACAGTTAGTTTCTTCTTTTATGCTTTGTGAAAATGTGCAGGTGGACATTGACATGTGAAAACAGACATAAACACCAAGCCGGTACACAATTTTCATATTTGGAAGTATAATGTTTTGATGATCACATGTCAAATAGGCCTACTATACGAAATGCATAATTTATCTCGGTTATGAATTTAAAGGTAAAAACATTTATACTCATTTACACTCTAGTAAATAGTGCAGGCTATGATTCTTCGACAAAGGTTTTGTCTAGGCTATTTAATTTGTTGGTGTGTAATAAACAGATGAAATTAATAAAAAATAGACCTACGATTAATAAGAGGATGCCGTAGAGATAAGTAGTGGACTCCAGCTACGTTATGCTAAAATCCATGTATCATTAGAAGTATTTCATTTCATTTTTTTTCCAGTGTACACGCAAATCTGCCGTCTCCCATGCAAGGAACGGCTTACAAAATATATTATAAAACTAAAAGCTGCTGAAGACCTTAAAAATCTGCTACGTTGTAATGGGCTATGCTTGCAATATTAAGGATGATATAGCCTAACAACAACGACGACAGATATTATTATTATTATTATTATTATTATTTGTTATTATTGTTAACAACAACAACAACAACAACAACAACAAAACAACAATAACAATCTTAATAGTTATAATAATAATAATAATAATGGTAGCGATTCTGTTTATGTATGATCTCTTTATTGAACAAGACGTTTCCCAAAAAAGGCACTGCACAACCAAATGTTAAAGCGTGTAAAAGGCACTGAGACTAGGCAGATGTATACTGAAATGATGTTCCCGAGAAAGAAATCCTCCGTACGCAACTAAAATATATTTTCTGGGTTTTCAGGTTTTTGTTTTTTTTTTCAGATTATTTTGAAATATAGGTAATGCAGCAGCATAAATTATATCAGATCACATAACTCAAGATCATAGTCATTGTTTTTGAGAACAGCTACACTTGGATTACACATAGCACCAGGTCAAATCATTGCTGTAAGTTCGCCCTCTCGTGGCTTCGAGCAGTATCAACAAAATGTAAATAAACAAAGGGATGTCTAAGATTCCTTATT